ATTTTTGTTTAGTAGAAAAGTTTTGATTTAAATTGGTTAAACGAAGAGAGTGTTTTAAGATCATCATTTAAAAGTATATTCCATAACTTAGGTCCTCAATTTGTAATTGAGTATTTAGTGGTTGAATAATAGGTTTTGGATTGACTAAATTTATTTTTTGAGAATCTTTTGCTGTATATATAATTTATTTTTTTAAATATTGAGTAAAATAAAGGCGGTGCCGTTTTTTTATCAAATTTAAACATAAATATAAGACTTCGATAAAGATTTATTTTGAAAACATTTAATATATTGGGTTTACTAAAACGTATTTTTGTATGGGAGAGTCGACCTTCATTTTTAATAACCCTGATAGCATTTTTTTATTTGCAGAAAAGTTTATTTTTTTTGTAATGTTAATGCTGCACCAGCAAATTTTGCATAGTTTAGGTAACAATGTATAAGTGAAAAGTATATGTTCAGGTTTAAAATTTTAGGATGTACCCTATAAAGGTGACTTTTTGTTTCATTTGATGTAGGATTGGATATAATTCATAGGCGCTTGTGGCGCCCTTTTTTAGCAACCTTTTACACTTGTAAATGATATTTATTTTGAGAAGTGACTGAAGGAAATAAATCTTAGATATATTATGCAATCTTTATAAGTGTTTATAAGTGAAAAAGAACTAAATTTAAAAATTTAAGTGACTGATATCCACATAGATCAGAAGTTTATTTTAACATCATAGATCTGATTTTTTTTTTTACGGCGATAAAGTAATTGTAGCAAACCCTATTAGACCCCTAATACCCCATTAGACTATGGTTCTGTAAAGAAATATTTCAAATTTTTTTTTTGTGATATACAAAACTAGATCAAAATTCATTGATAGATTTTCAATTTCATTAAAAAAAATGTGTAGACTAAAAGTTATGACCATTTAAAGTTATTTTAGGTGGTAAATTTGTCGAACTTTAAACTTCTTATGCTCATAAATCTTAAACGAAAAGAGATTTTTTGATCAAACTTGAAATCTGTCGATAAATTTTGGTCTAATTTATGATAGAACTTAAAAAAAATTATTATCTCAGGAGACGTAGTTCTAGAAAGGGGGCAATTAAGGGTCGGAACAAAGTTGGGTTAGCTCCAATAGGGTACCGTTGCGGTTCTAAAAATAGACTTTTGCAAAACTTTCTGGGATTGAAATGTGGACAAACATCGCACAGAAACAATAGAATTTTTTAAAAACGCTAGTGGTTGTGGGATTAATATTTGGACAAACAAATAATTTGACGTCACCAAAACGGTACCTTATTACTTAAACTTTTTTTAAAGTCATCCTCATTAGATACTAGTATTAACATAGTAAAAATTTGAGTATTCCACATAGTTTTTAGTTACCTATCTTGAACAACAAAATTACTAGGCATTCGTCTAAAATACGTGGTTTCTCGCTAGGCCCCCGGGTTTTTTTGACGTTTTTGAAATAAAGGAGAGTCTTCTTATAACAAACTAACAATAAAAATTCTGGGGATTTATCGGTCTCAGGGTAAGTTCCTATTCACCGTGATATACAGTGGTTTAGAAATGTTTTGAAATGTTTGAAAAACCATCTTTTAAATAAAAAGAGTATTCCAAATTTTTTTACGTTTATATGTATGACGAAAATATTCTTCACAAAAAAAATTACTGTGATAGGAAAATGGAAACAAGAAACCCTTAAATTCTAGCCCTCTCTTCACCACCCCCCCCCCCCACCCTTACTTTACACGTGAGGGGAATGAGTTGAATTATTTATTTTTTAATCAATATAAACTAGTTATGTATTCATCGACAGACTTCAAATTTTATGTTTAAATTATTCAGTGCTTTTTTATGTAAAGAATAACCCCTCCCCCTCATTTTGAGGGCCCACAAACTTTACATGGTCATAAAAACTGAGTATTGAATAATTTAAACATATAATTTGAAATCTGTCGATAAATACAAAACTAATTTTTATTGATGAAAAAAAAAATAATTTAACTCATTCCCCTCATGTTTAGGGTTGAGGGCTAAGTTTTTAGGGTTTCTTGTTCCCATTCTCCTATCACAGTAATTTTATATATATATATATATATATATATATAAAATAGTCGTTTTTAAAAAATAAAAGAACGCGAGGACTCGTGGAAGACCATACGTTGAGAAGACCATATTGAAGATGGAAAACCATACGTCTTTTTGTTGAGTAACACTAAGAAATGTTCGCTTAAAATGTATAAGATATTTACAAGATAAAAAATAAGCTAAAGAAGTAAGAAACTTAAAATATTCCATTATAAATACAAAATGCGTTATATCTGTTATATAAGTAGATTACAGTTGTAAATGATACATGTATAATTTTTATATATTCAGGTTTAAACAGAGATAAAAAGGAAGTTCAATAAAAAAATTAGTATATTGTAAAATGTTCAAAAATCAGTATACTGTTAAATCTTCAATTGTAAAAATAAATTCTTCAAGTTTAAAAGAAAAGTAGTTACTTTAATGAATAAAATTCTCAGTGAATTTTTTTTAAAGTTATTTTATCCCATAAGAATGGTCCGCGGTAAACAATACAAAATTTAAAAAGATTTGTTTGAGAAATGGGCGGCAGCCCATTTTTTAAACAAATTGATAACAAATTGATAAAATAATTTAACTAAGCATGC